TTTTTTTGCTATATCCTTATATATGAAATTTTGTAGCCAATCAAATTTAGTTTACGATTAGATTCTAGAAAAATCGAGAGTAGATCACCGCTATGCCAAATTTGGAAAAACACCGGACTGTAATATATCGCAAATGATGTTTGACAACGAAAAAAACTTATCGCAAAATTTAGAATATGCATAGATAATACTTGAACATGGAAAATTCAGCCATTCAAAGGCTAACTTTAAAATGGAACTGTGTGTTCAAGGATTATTACTATGCATAGTTTTTAGATTTCTGGATTTAGCGATAAGGTTTTTCCTACCAACAAAAAAACTTGAACATGAAAAAAGTTAAGGCCTAAAATGGAAATCTCTGATCGGCATTGATTGTCGCAAAAAATACCGGTACGTATAAAAAGTCACTTTTTAAGAATAAGCCCACATTTTGTGACTCACTAACACAACGACATTAATTATGCAACGATCTAAATGTCGCAATAATTATCAAATTTCATAAAGGTTACATAAGCATTATTTTATAATATTAGGATAGTAGATCAATTTTGTAAGACATGACGATGCCCTGCCTCTGTGTCTCGTACTTTACACTAAAGGAGGAAATATTAGTAGCTATTTTGATCAAATGCATAAGGAGTTAGTACTAGTACTCTAGTACACTCCTCTCAAATTTCAAATGCAGTAATCAAAATTTTTCTTTTTACCTATCTTAGAAACGATTTTTCATTTGTTTTTAATATAATAGGATTTACTAGAAGTAATCCAAAACCTTCTCTTAAAATGAATGGCACATCTCGTACAAACTATAATTTGTCTATATTTTCTAAAACAAAATTTTCGTTATATAAAGACCCTTAGCATTAGAAATTGCAGAACTTGTTTTTATTTAAATTATAGTTTTTTATACCATTTTTCCTTTCAGCACTGAGTTGATATGCTCTGTGCAGTTTTTTAGCAGTTTTTTCTTATTTTATAATAAATTGAACCAGTTTCCTCGTAAGCAACCGTTACCGTTACGCATTACGATCTATTCCAGTATTCACATTTCTAAATTAATCCCGTGTTTCAACTGCGGAGTAATCTGATTGGCTAAATGATCGATTGTAACTATGGCTCAACGACAGTCAAGGACTTCTAAATCTTCAAATAACATTTCCTTCAATAATCCATCTGCACCTGGCACCCACACTTTTCGTATTGGGCCCTCTGAACCCACAGAACATCAACTGAACCCTCTTCAGATTGCCTTTTTGGAATATCAAATTGCTGAGTTGAAATTGCAACATTCTTTCGTTATTCAGGAAAATAATAATCTTCGATCTCAGCTTTCTTTCCTTATCCAAGAAAATAATAATCTTCGTTCTCAAGCTGCTGCATTACAAGATCAAGTGGAGATTCAACAGGTCGTCATTTCAAATAAAGAATTTATTGGAGAATTTTCTCTTAATGGTCAATTTTCTGCAAATGACCAGAATTGATTGTTTTTATTTTTTATTATTTTTTTTGTTTTGTTTTATTTTTTGTTTTTTACGATTTATGTAAGATTTTATCAATTGATTTTTCATAACATATCGATTTTTAAAGATTTTATCATCATACGTGCATCAAAGTTTTGTCACTATTCCCTTTTTTAAAAAAAAATTATACTTTGATTTTGACAATAGCCTTTATATCTGCATAGCAGACATTTATAATTTACATGTTCATACTGTTATTTTTAATAAAAAGCGTTTTAAAAATGTGGGCATTCTCATATTAAGATTAGAAGTTGTGATATCCAATTTGTCAGGACCGAATGATGCTCTAAAGTCAAAAATGATCGTTGTCCTTTAGCTATCGATTCCAACATTTCTTGTAAAATTCAATATACTGTGATGAGTATTTTCTACAGGTTTTCTTTATTCCCTTGAAAATATATAAATAGCAACTTCTTTTTTGGATATAAACGATTTGAATGGTGGCTCGCCGCTCGAAATCTCCCATAAAAAATCACACCTAAGAAGGGGTGAAATAGTTGACAGAAAATTCTAGGGTTAATGTTTAATAATTCTGATTGGAAAAATAGTATATGGAAAAAATTATTAAAAAGAAATGATACTGTCTCGACAATAATAGTCAAAAATAATGATACTGCTAATAATATTGATTTTAATGCTAATAAAATTGTCATATAGAAAACGGATCCATTTCTGCGACAACGCAGGAATTGATGCCTTGGTATCATCCCGAAGTGAATTATACTTAATCGATTGAGTAAGAAAGTTGAAATTAATAATGCAAAATGCCACTTTTAATGCTGTCAGTGTTTAAACTACAGTATAATAAAATTTTCAATGATTCTTTTTCATTTTAGAGTTTTACTGATTTCAACTTAGGAATATTTTCTTTATATATCATTATTGTAATAAAATGTAAGAATCAGATAGAGAAAGAGATTGAAGCGGAGCTTTGAGAATCTAAAGTATATTGAGTAATGGATTAAGTATCATAGAAGTTAAGATATACTGTAACTAGAAACTTACGAGATATTCATTTAGTGTTATTGTCGGTGCTGAACCGAGGTGGCTATCATGAATTGCTTTTCAAACAGTGACACCATTAATGTTATTATAACCGCCATCAGGTTTTCGTATGCCATCAACCAATTGATGTAAAAACAGATCAAATTCATCTTCATGGTTTCTTCGATATTCATTTTATATATAAAAGTTTTAAATTGGAATTAATCATCAACTTCCTTATATTTTATTTATTTACTATCCTTTAGAGACGTATGTCTGATTCGTGCCTTGGACACCCAAATCTATCCTCTTTCAAACCGATGACCATCGTAAGATTACACTCGAAAGATAATTACGAACCATCAATTTCGTCTATAACAACATTATATAATCGGGTAAACCAGCAATTCTGTTTCATTTCAATTATGTGGCTTCGATCGGGCGGTTATCCAGATATTACATCTGTTTTCGTAAATTTTGGAATATCTAATAAAAAATTGATTTGATTTTGGTAATAATCGCGATGATGTGTATACCCTTTACTAAATGATACTGTGATTTCGATGGTATGATGTATATCGATATCACTATTTTTATCTTTGCCAAATGACATTTTCAAAGTATATTCATTGGAAAAAATGTTTGGAAGGCTTAGCAGTTCGGGTGTTAGCAGCATTTAAAGACAAATTATTCCATCGACAGCTCATTTATATAAAATTTTTTTTTTTCTTACAATTTACACTAATCGTAAACATATTTCCGATTCTGAAGTGAGCTATTTATGAAAATTTATTTAATGAAAAAAAAACCTTGGGTCTTCTGTGAGTCGAATTCTCAACCATTTTCGAAGATATGGGTGTGTTAGCAATTTTAGAAAACCACTTTTATTAAATTTGGATGAAAATATTTTAAACCTTTTAATGAAAAAATCTTTTGTTTGAGTTGTTGTTGCTTCAGATAAGTTAGAGATTATATTAGATTCAGTTGATATCGTATCAGGCAAGTCAGATACTTCAGATTCATGCTGATTTTCTTTTTGACCTATATTTTATAATACTATTAAACTTCTAAATACTGTAAAATGATATATATAACTTTAGCTTTTTTTTTATTGATGCCTGCTCGTGTAATGAATTTATTATGAAAGCTTATCTTATATTCGGAACCTTTTTTATATTTTTTGTTAAGATCTGTTGGTTGGCAAGAACAATTGTCTATAAATTTTCATGATGACTAAACACACCGAACATACCGGACATGCATCCAAGCGAAAACTTAATTTTAAATGTGTTAACATTGTTGTCATTCAGAATACAGTATTATCACTATGTATTAACAATATATATCGTTTTCAGGCAAACACATATGGAGTGCCTCGTATTAAAAGGGCCCATTTTAACATATAAATAATTTTGAGAGTACGGTCTATAAAATTTTCAACTTAAAGTTTATTTTGTGAACCTTTTTGTTAATTAGCTTTCGTAACTATTAGCAAACTTTTTAT